GACTTAACTTTCGCGGCGGGAGATGATGTGTGGAAGCTGGCCTCCTTCTTGAACCAGTTGAGCCAGGGGGTGCGTGCGGAGGTGCTTCAGGGCTATGAGGGCCTCCATGGATGTAAATTCCAACATCACCTGGCTGAGGGCCGGTTCAGCTACATCCTCGAGACCGTGCAGCAGATACTTCGGCATGGCTATGCGACAGCAGATGACAGGCACACCGTCTTCAACAAGTCCAACTCCTTGAACTTCAAGGCTTGAAGGTCGAAGAGGGTGGCATTGATCGATACGACTACCAATTCGACTTGCTGCGGACCGAGGTTCAGGTGATTACTGGCCAACTCCTTGCAGAGGAGACTCTCATAGCTCACTACTTGAATGGCCTTGGTAAGGCGGCTCAGAAGTTCGCCGAGGTGCACCTCTCTGATGTTACAAACTTCGCTCACATCCGCCGCCGGCTCCGAGCCTTCTGGAAGGCGGAGGTGAAACACGGTGAAGATGTTGACTCAACAATGCCTTGCTTGGCATTATATCCCGACAGATCGGCTACAGAGCTATCGGGAGATCATCAAGCAGCTGTACCTACACATGGTGAATTAGCCGGCAGGTATCCCTGCGGCCAGGGCTGTGGTCACAATTTGCCGGAAGCGAACAGAGGATACTGTATTCGTTGTGCTAAACCTCGACATAGAGCACGATGGTGTAGGCAATCGCTTCCAGTCGACCATCAGCAAAGATGTGGAGTAGCTCCACTGGAGTTTGTTGTTGTCGCCTCCATCGTCAAGGGACTTGCCCATTGAAGGGCGACGCCTCGAAATGCCCCAGGTGTGGTAAGATTGGTCACCGTGCGGCTGCATGCAGGGAGGCACTACCAACAAAGTCCACAGAGAGCCCGGTTGCGGTTGCTGATGAGTCCGCACGAGAAGGCTGTGGGACGACAGTGAGGGGCAGACTCAACATGCACGACCAAGGCCGCGAGTAGCCCGTGATGCGTTATCTGAGTCGTCTCAGTCGTCGGGTCAATCCGAGGATGCTGAGACTTTAGAAGAGTTCCTCGGGTGCCACCATGGCACTGCCATGCGATGAGGACGACACAGTTAAACAATCACAATTCTGATGACAGTGAGCTTCCAGCTGCTGTTCCTGAGGTTCTCATGTATGATTTAACTTTGTATAAAGCAGACCCTTCCAAGAAGTCAACAGTGTCCGTTCTCCTAGACACTGGAGCAGGAAGGAGCTTCGTGAGTCATGCTTGGTTGAATCTGTGGTGCACAACTACAAGCGTACCTGTCAATCGTTGAAGGTCAAATGCGCTAACGGCACTACCTTCTATACGAATCGGCAGGTCTTATTGAAAGTGTCTCGAGATGGTGTGGCTCATCCCTGGTGGTTCTTCGTCACTGAAAACCTCTCGCATGCACTTATAAGCGGTATGGACTTCTTGCGTGGACTGCGTTTCACGTTAAAGCTGACACCGCAGTCGCATGAAGTCGCTACGGTTCCAGAGGGGACTCTGTTCCCAGTGGCTGCCGCCATAGAGGCCATCTCTCGTCGCACTGAAGCGACCTTGGGAGATTTCGGCCAGGATACGGCAGTTTGCACTGCTAAATCCCTCAAGAACGAGGACACCCTAGTCGATGTTGTCCGAGATGTCGAAGGTTTGCCGAACTCTCACCCGGGGCCGGTCCAGCGACATGTACACAGGATTCCATGGGTCAGCGAGGCACGGCCAAGCCGACGACGATCGCTAAGGAGGGCCAAGCAGATGTCTGTTAAGCTGTCAAAGGCCTGAGGACTTCTTAGCTGTTAAGCTAAAAAGGAATCCTGAGGCCTACGGTCAGTGTTGTAAGCAGCTTGATATGCTCGTGCAACGGGGCTACTCTCGAGAAGCATCGGAAGAGGTGATAAATCACGCATACGGTCTTCTCGTCGTGCGAAAAGCGGCTTTTCATTGAAAAGTTTGAAAAGTTTTCAAAAGCCACATCTTTAACAACTCCTTTACGATTAGTTCTGGGAGGCTCCACCATGCGGGGCTGTGTGTCCTCGGTGGTGTCACCATTGTTAGTACTCCGTCGCTATGCGTACTCCACACTAGCTGACTTGGGAAAAGCGTTCTACTCCTTGGATATTGTCAGCTCCGATTGTGGAGCACGAGGCTACTACTGGGAGGGCAGGTGGTATATGTTACTTCGGGCCGCTATGGGCCATAGCCTATGGGCCTTCCTGCTTCTCCGTCTATGTTGCAGACCTCTATGCGGGTCACCCTCCAAGAGTTCGACAATGAAGCTGCCCCTGAGCTCGATATCGGTCCCTACTGTGTCCGATCATTCATGGATGATATAGCTCAGGGTGCAGAGACCAGCTGCGATAGGGATATGTTGGCAGATGGAGTTCATCAAGTGGTTGTCAGAAACGGCTTCTCCGAGCAGGAATCGAAGCGATTGCAGAACAGAGTTAATGGTACCGAGTCGGTACTACCGACTCCTCAGAGGACAAAGCTGGCACCCTCTTGGGTGTCCAGTGGGATCCAAAAGAAGATTGTCTGGCAATCGTTCCTGCTCCGCCCTTGGAGGGCAAGGCCGAGCGAAGAGATGCACGCTCTATAACGTTGCGACCCTATATATCATGGCTAAATTTTCACTTTGACCCTTTGGGCCTATACCTAGAGGAAGCTATGGCCGGCAGGTTGTTGATGCGGGCGGCTGTGCGTGCTGGCAAGACCATGGACGACCCTCTTGCTCCTGATCTCGTACGTCGAGATTATTTGCTACAAGATGCTTACGCCAGAACGGTATGGACACCGCGGTATGTGCAGGGGGACACGCTGGTGGTTGCCTGTGATGCATCTCTTGTAGGCTGGGCTTGCACAGTTACGGACATCGATGGCACGCGACTGTACGCGCGGGGCGGTCTCCATGATGTTGGACATGAGAGCTGGTAACCAGCTGCTGGTCTATACCGAGGCTAGAGCTCTACGCGCTGATTGAGGCCCGCAAGATTATTGATAGCGTGCTCTCGGAGGACCCCAAGGTCAAGAAGGTTATTCTGCTGAGTGATAGCTCCATTAATGTGCAGCGTCTCACCCCTAAAGGCAGCATCTCCAGTAAACTGGTTCCAGAGACTGGTAACCACTAACTTCGTGGTTAAGAGACGTTCCGGTGGTCCTCGAGCATGTTAAGGGTACTAGGAACCCTTCAGACTGTGCGTCACGTGCTCTGTATCCTAATTCATATGATGAGGAAGTCTATCAGTCCACGGTCGCCAGTCTCCGGGAGAATTTCGAGTCTATACGACAACGGCTCGCATCATCTGATTCTGTACCGGCGGATGTCCGGTTCGACGTGGACTTGCTGGTTGGTTCTTTATGTGATGATGAGAGAGGTGATGATGACGTGGCTGTCAGGAGTTTGGTAGACGAAGTCCTAACTGAGCAAGGTTCCGACCCCCACTGCAAGCAGATCAGAAAGATTCTGGCACATCAGCCGGTAGAGCTCACGGCCACCGAGGTTAAGCGTATACGACGAACATATATCATCGATAAGGATGGGAATATCTGCAGGTACCATGCGGTTTGCGGGAGTCAATACTATGTTTCCTTGGCGATGCGCTCGGTGGTAATCAGCATCTTGCACGACTTGTATGCTCATCCAGGGTCTAATAAGCTCTACGGCATAGTTCTCAAGCTCTACCATCTATACTGGCCCAAGATGGTTCGCGACATTCGGCAGGCCACCATGTCCTGCGAGGTGTGTGTAAGAAGCAGGCGCCGTAGAGCTGAACCTCCTGCCTTTGGGACGCAGCTGCGATCCTCCCAATTATGGGAGCTGTTAGCCGTGGATATCGGTGGACCTTATGTTGGTACTACATCGACGAACGGTATGACTAGTGTACCGTCCTAATCTCTCACCCCGCTCGGGTTCGAGCTATTGCTGAGTGGACGCCGCCTAGGACAGTGTCAGAGATGAGATCGTTTCTGGGGCTTGTCAACTACTACCGAACGTTCATACCTCGGATGTCTGCGGTAGCTAAACCCATTCAACGGTTAGTGTCTCTATGTGGCAAGTGCCCGGACGACGTACCAAAACATTGGGACGTGGACGCTGACAAAGCCTTTGCGAAGCTCAAGGCTGCTCTCATCGGACTTCCTGGCTTGGCCTATCCCGATTTTCGGGAGCCATTCCAGATCTGTTGCGGTGCTTCCAACCAAGCTATTGGCGGGGTCCTTGAACTGTTCAAGGGCGACCATTCTGATACGGTACAAGCAAGGGACGAAGAACATCAATGCCGATGTACTCTCTCGACCTCAATTGCCACGGCCAGACCCTGTAGTACCAGACCCTCATGCTTGTGAAGTACGGTCCCCCGTCGACGACTTCCCCGTCTTGCAGCCTTGTCTGGACGACTTTGGTTGCCGACTACATACGTCCTTGCCAATGACTCCTTGGTGGTTCTTGATACCCTATTCTCGATCGATGATATCCGAGACGGTCAAGACCTGGATGAGGTGGTTTCTACGGTACGAGAGCGAGTTCTGGACGGCCATCCTTTGGGCCGCAACGAGTTCAAGACCCGAGATTACCTTCCGTGTTGACGTATATGGGCTTCTTTGGATGTGTCTGATGGGATTTTGGCTCGGCATCCGCGTATGGATGCGCTGGACGAGGCGAAGCTCCTACCAGTGATCCCCGATGAGTTACGAGAACGTGCCCTTCGCCATTATCACCAGGACACCGGACACTTTGCTCGAGAGAAGATGCTGAGCAAGCTGAAACAACAGTGCTACTGGCCGACTATGCACGTGGATGTTGAAGTGCATTTGCAGACCTGTACTACATGTCTTGCTGCTGGCCCATTACAAGGATCCCCGTCACCCCTGTTACTAGTTTCTGTCGGACGAGCTTGGCACACCTTGGGTGTCGACTACCTCAAGATCGGTCCTGGTGTGGGTGGTTACGAGTGCCTCTTGGTGGTTCAAGACTACTTCACCAAATGAGGTGAAGCCTAGCCTCTCCGTACGGAAACGGTGGAAGAGTCTTTGCCTTACCTTCTCGGGTTGTTTGCTCGATTTGGTCCGCCAGCACGGATCCATTCAGATCAAGGCCAGCAATTCGAGAGTGCTCACTTCCGAGCTACCTTGGACGCTCTAGGTATCTCTAAGTCTCGGACGACCATCTACCATTCAGCTGGTGACGGTTTGGTTGAACGACTTAACGGGACCATCTTGTCGATCTTGAGGAGACACTGTTGCATCCCCGACTGGCCGACCCATCTGCCGGCTCTTATGTTCAAGTACAATACCGCTATCCACTCTTCTACTGCCAGTAGAAGAGTGGATAGTAGACTACTGGCTACAGTCTCTTCATGCTTATGTTTAGACGTGAGCCCCCGGCCGACTTTATTCCTATAACGTCTGCTTATAGCTCACTGGTATTTGATACCGAGACGTACGGACAATATGTGGCTAGGGTGCGAGCTTACTTGGACGATGAGGTCGACCAGGCTGTCACTCATGCAGCAGCGAGGTACACGGCCTTCTACGATCGCAAAGCCAAGCCCACGGCTTTCTTCCCGAACGCTAGAGTCTTTGTGCGTGTTCACGTCCCCAACAACAAGTTGGCCCCGAGGTGGGAAGGTGATTGGTATATAGTGGACATTATTGGCTCACAAGACTCGGTAAGAGTGCTTCGTTTTAAACATGCTGTCACTGGCGAGTTGGAGGTCATCAACGTGGACCACGTTCGACTGGATCCAGTTCAACCTCACCAACTGTCGGACGGTCTTCTACAGCGTGTGGATCGAGAAGCCCCAGACCTACCACCTCTACCAGCCTTCAACCCTGAGGCATCTCCTGCTCATGCTCTACATCCTCAGCGAACGATGCCTCCTAGATCAATGCCTGACGAGGAAGAGTTCTCTAACGGTGTTCCGGGCAATCCGCCGGTACCCGCTCGATCTGTGGTACGACCGCCGAATGGTCCGTCCGCACCTCCTGTCCCGTCTAGATCACGGACGAGGCCTATTTTTATGTAGCTCCAGTCACCGGACAGAGCACGACAGGGCAATCTGTAAGGAGCCTATAATCTTCTGTTAGCGAAAACCACAAAAGCTATATGCTATCGATCAACTTGGCGAATACAGCATATCTCAAGTGGAACAACTATAGTGAAGTCAGAATCGGCTCGACACTATGACCAAATACTAGCTGGTAACCAGATGTGACTTATCATATGAACGGACATATGGTCAACCTTCCTTAACACTTATGCCCCCTTCGGCAGCCTCTACTCCTGCAGCTCCATCTAGACCGTCTATGTTACCCCCTCGGCCGTTTATGTCGTCACCTACGGTGGAAGGACGATCTGTTCATGACGGGCATTATTTGCCCCTATCCCCGCTGCTTCTTTCTACACCGCTCCCGTCGCCGGTGCCTGATAATCTTCAGAGCCCGGCTGAGTCGGTTCCCTCGGATGGTCTTCCGTCCACCCTGGAACCATCCCCACTCGTGTCACCTGACGAGCTTCCCCTTAGACGCTCACGGTTCGTGACGCCTACTACCCCTGTGAAGTCTCCCGAAGAGTCAACGTTGCTTCCTTCCGGTATGGCAAGCCCCATTATGGACACTGACTTCGAGTCTCCTCAAGAAACGCCGAAACCCTCTGTTAACGACCCCATCCATCAACGCGCCGGAGGGTCGCCGACCACGCCTCCGGCAGAGGCAGCCCCGAGTCTACGAGACCATTTACTAGGTCTAGGGCTGGTCACCGTTCCCGACCACCGACCCGCTTCGACTCTGATACCTACGTCCCGATGGCTCTTCGTTCTGAATGGAGCCATGGACGTTCTGACTCTCCTCAAGTGAGGGAGGAGGTTTGCGTGGGAGG